AAAATTGTTCATGTGACTACATTTTCCTCAAAAATTAGGAATATATTCTTTATTGGGATATATATTTATTTATTAGGCAATTCACACTTCTCAAAAACTCATCTTTATGGAAAAGTACAACATTTTCTAGATTGAAAATTAATGGCTCGTTTGGCATGATTTTTGCTTTTGCTTTTACTTTTGCTTATTGTAAAAGAATTTTTGACTGAAACGAGCTTAGTTTTTATTTGAAATCTAATTTTCAAAAGCATTTTCTTTTTCAGAAGTGTTTTTAGAAAACATTGGATCAACTTATTCTAAAACCCCTTCTAACTAGAAGAGATACATTCATAAAATTAACTAAACGAGCCTAAAATCTATTTTTGGGTATCAAAAACTCCTTTTAACTTTTAAAAAATAATGCCAAACATGCTATAAATCAATCAAATACATTTAATTGACAATTTTCGTGAAAATAAGTTCTAGTCCATGCAAGTTACATGCTTGCAATTATATATACCCTTAGATTTTTAATAAATTATGATGAAATATGTGGTTGAAATGTTAATAAATGTTGTATCTCCTATGAAATGTGTGATCGTAAATTAATTTTGAAAATGTTTTAATTTTAAAAAATGGGCCAAACATGAGCTAAATTACATACATTCATAGGATCATATTATCTATGGACCGTTAGCGTCAAAATTTGTTCGACACTTCAAATGTATGAAACTCTCTTTATATTGTTTTGCGATTTCAATTGGCGATGGACTTATCAAATGTCAAGAAAAATATCCTCAAAACATCAAAACAAGTGAATAAAAATGTGTTTCATAGAATAAGTCCCATCTTTGTTCTTCATTATTTCTAAAATATAATTTTCTTTCTTTTATTTTTAACCACACATTTTTCAATAATATAATATTAAGTACAAATTCGAAACTTTTCTTTATTTTTTAACCATATTTTTAATCAAATCATTATACTAAAATACATTTTTGACTAAAAATGAGGCTCAAACATATTTTGAATTGACTTGTCAATACTTGTCCCCATATACAATTTGGATATTTCCACACATACGTGGGAACCATCCCCATGTTTTGACCTTGTGAATATTTTCCTGTTACTTTTATTATTAAAACAAGTATCTTGCTCATTTTTTATTTTTATCCATTAAAAAACTATATATTTTAAAATTTCCTTTTTACGCTTAAGTAAATTTAGCACGTGTTTGGAATACTTAAAACAAAATGATCTTCTATCTCCAGTGGGTAGGATAGAAACGTCTCACTGCTGATGTGGTAAAAGAACATTCCATAATTAAGGCCCCATTCGGGAGGGCTTAAAATCCAATTAAAATTGAAAATATGACCGTTATTAGGTCCCACCCGTCTAATAAAAGTCAACAATAACGGCTATATTTTCAATTTTAATCTGATTTTAATCTCTCACAAACAAGCTCTAAGATTCTTTTACCACGCCAGCAATTGATAATTTTTATCGTGCCCACTGTATGCAAGAGATCATGCTTGACAGTTAAAAATCAGATACTTAATAAATTTTGATAAGACTTAGTGTGTGGTTAAAAATTGTATATATAATTAAAATAATTTTTTGACCTTAACATAAATTTTTATCAAAATTGTAATCCACATCAAATAGAGGCTTACTTATGATGGAAACTTTCCAAGCAAATGTAGCGCCTCGAGTTCTGTTAACTCGGATTACCACGTTATCGTCTTTTACCCTAAATCAACTAAATAGATTCGCGAAAATAACTAAATTTTAAACATCACATTTATAATTGTAAAACCCTAACGGCAATAAAATTCATTTGATTAACTTAAAAAAATCGTTTAAATTTCAAAACGTGAGTTTGAAATAACGGAAATAACAAAATAAGTTCAAATGCATAAATTTCAAAAAAATAAATAATTGCGATAATCAAATTTCGTGCCACCACTACCCATCAATCACGATCGCCTCCGAAATCTGCAATATTGTTAAAATAACGGGGTGAGTATTTCGAAGAAATACTCAGTAGACTCATCGTCGATAATTAATTTACAAAATAATTGAATACACACTTATGCAATATACAACGTGATATCATCATCATCTTTGGTTCATTTTCTTGAAAATCATAGGCTCTTTAAAATCATAGGTTGTGGGTAGTCTTTCTCGTGCATTTAAAGCACATAAGTTATGCATAACATTCTCATCTTATCTCATAAGAGATTCTCTTCTTTCTCATGCAA